CCCCCCCCCCCCTTGACAAATGTGCATCTGATTTTCCATGAGTATCAATGTAGGTGGCTTCTGCCAATCCTCCCATTTTGTCCCTTTATATCATTGTTTTATTCACAGACTAATTAACGCTTCCATAAGCTCTTCCTCTAACAAGGGAACTTTTAAATTTGTGTCACCAGTTCTACACTAAGGAAGCATTTATACACTCTGCTTAGAAAATAGAAGAATTCTAAGATCTCAACAATGAACCTTCAGTAAATGCAACACCTTTTATAAATCTTTTTAAATTTTTAAAAATATATCTTTATTGATTTCAGAGAGAGGAAAGGCGAGGGAGAGAGAGAGGTAGAAACCTCAATGATGAGTCATTGATCGAGCCCGCTACCCGGGCATGTGCCCTGACCAGGAATCAAACCGATTGCCTGGATCCTAGGTCGATGCTCAACCACTGAGCCACGCCTGGCTGGGCAATATAAATCTTAAATTGTAATTCAGTTTGGAGCTTTTACAAGTTTTAAGTTTGGCAAATATAATTCCTGGGTGTTCAAAGTATACACATTTTAGTGTATTTAATTTAGAACTCCAAACAGGAGAATTGCAAAGGATATGAAAATCTGAAAACTGTCAAAGATTAATTGAAGACAGTCTCATACAAGAGATTTAAAGGATTTAGTTCAAGCGTAAAATAGATTATTTCTAACTCTTACAAAACTCCATCCGCCCCATACCTTTAGAGAATTCTAAAATTTTCAAGAAAGCTTCAAAGATTAACTTTGTTTATAAATAGCATTCTGTAAAATGTACTCTCTAATTTCCTTTCAGATTTAAAAACAAGTAGTTACATGACTTGTTCTTATACAATTTTGCCTCAGACATACTCTCCCCATTTGAAAACTTGTATTTGGAAGTTTTTGAAAGATTTATGGATTCAGGAAAGTAAGAAATGAAGTACAAAAAACTTGGAGTTAGCTCAGGAATCAGGTGCTCAGCAAGGCAGGCCTGTGATTTTAAAATGTATTTAGTTCAGCAATATCCTTTAAAATTTTATATGTAGGAGGAGGATGAGACTATCAGCCTTTTATACTCAAGTGTAAGAATGTTTGATTCCTTCAACCTGAAGCACCTACCAATTGCATAGAGGACGTGGGAGTTGGAGGGCCTTCCACCCTCTAAATAAAGGGTATGATGGATGGGTGGGTCATTAAGACGGGAGATGTACAAAAGCAATTATGAGTTTTGCCTGCTTTCAAATCTTGGACTAAGAAAAGGGAAGGAAGCTTTATACCTCCTTTCGACCAACTGGGCCCCTGCTATCAGAATTCAGAACTTAAATTATAACTGTCCACTAACAGACTTTTAAGATAAGTAGAGCACCAACCACCATTTAACAGTTTCACAGGAAATACTTTCTAATTCAAGAACTATCACAGATGATGTTGAGTCCATAGGAGGCAGAAAGAATGAGGTGACAAGTACTGGTAAATGTGTTAAGCCTTATGAGGGGAAAAACGGGACCATGTAGGAAGACAGTATTTCAGTTCCATTAGTGCTTCTGTGCACTATTAACAAAGCTGTACCTCTAGGCCTGACTTACCTTCTACTTGCCATGTCTTTCCAAGTAGATATCTTACATGCACCTCAAAGTTCAACATGCAAATCAAAATTATCTTCCTCTATAATTACGGCCCCCTTCCCGAGTTCCCTAGTTGAGTTTTACCTTCCTAACTGCTCAGTTTAAAAACTCTATCCTCCATTCAGTTGCTTAATTCTTAATTCTACCTCCAGAACACCTCCCAAAGTCCATACCTGTGTTCCCCATGATGTCATTTAGGCTCTTTTAAACTAGTGAAATATCAAGTGGTTGTCTTGTCTCAAGCTTTCCCTTTCCAAGCTGTTTACTGGGTGGGGCAAAAGTAGGTTTACAGTTGTTTGTATGGCAAACTATACAATTAAATTTTCGAGCACTCACAACTGTAAACCTACTTTTGCCCCACCCTGTTTCCACATTTTCTTTTGAAAAAGGAATCTCATTCCCTTGCTCAAACCTTTGATGGCTATGCCATGCTTACAGAATAAAGTTGAAACTCTTCAGCATGACATGACATTCAAGGCCCTTCATGTTATTACCCTCACACCTTTTAATACACTGTATCTTCTTTGTACTTCTCTTGAGCTACTAGATAGGCCACATCTTTTCACACCACTGTCTGCTCATACTTTTTTCTCTGACAATTCTTTCCCTTCTCTTTGCATGTCAAATACTACTGAATATTTTAAGGCCCAACTCAGTGCTACTTCTAGTCAGATTCCCAACTAGACAATCCTTAACCAGAATTAGTCATTACCTTCTAGGAGAGAAAATTACTTTTGATTTTACCTCTTCAGGCATTTTGTTGTGGATAAGGGGGATAGGGCTTGTACTTTATAATTGTCATTTCTTGCCCACCTACCTATACTGTTAAATTTCAGCTCATTCAATTCCTACATTTGTATAACATAATAGCTTTCTACTAAAATATTGTGATGAGGTGATTACATAACACTATGCGTAAAAATCTAAATGCTGGTCCTGAGCAAGTGTAGATTACTTGCCTAATACATTCTAATCTTTCTACAAACCACCTTTAAGTTTGAAGAGAATGGCTCCTGTAAACCTTTTAATAGTATAATTTATTACTTTTCCTTTATCTGCTTACAAGACTCTAATACTTAGCACCAAGATCNGTAGATTACTTGCCTAATACATTCTAATCTTTCTACAAACCACCTTTAAGTTTGAAGAGAATGGCTCCTGTAAACCTTTTAATAGTATAATTTATTACTTTTCCTTTATCTGCTTACAAGACTCTAATAGCACCAAGATTNACCTTTAAGTTTGAAGAGAATGGCTCCTGTAAACCTTTTAATAGTATAATTTATTACTTTTCCTTTATCTGCTTACAAGACTCTAATACTTAGCACCAAGATCAATGTAAATACAAGCAGCTCTTTCTAGTGTCACTTCATCAGTGGCATGAGTTGAATAAACTTGGTATCAAATTGCACAGATTTTTCTTAAAAACTTCAGTATAAAATACTAAACACCTATTGATACCTGTGCTCTAGTGAAGTGACACTTCATGTAACAATGTTTTCTACTCACATACTCTACTTATAAACCTGTTTACAAGCTTCCTTTCAGGCCACTAAAATTTAGGCCTGGAGCTGGTGACTCCAAACACAATATGTGCTTTATACACCACAAAACCAAACCAATATAATTACAGGAACATTGGAAAGAAAGTTCTACAAGAGACTCCAATGGGAGAAAAATAAAGGTGGCTGAGTAGTAATTAGGTTGCACTATGGTCTGAATTAACAGTGAAACCTAACCCCAAGGTGATATATATTAGGAAGTGAAGCTTTTGGGAAGTGATTAGGACACAAGCAAACCCCTCATGAATGGCATTAGTGCACGTACAAAATGAGCCCCTCAAAACTCCCTCACTGTTCTACCGTGTGGATGCAATGAAAAGACATGTTAAGTGAGCTCTCACCCGACACTAAATCTGAACTTCCCAGCCTACAGAACTGTGAGAAATAAATGTTTCTAAGCTACCCAGTCTCTAGTATTTTGTTACAGCAGCTTGAAGGGACTAAGGCTGCTAAATAGTATTTTACTGTAATACCCAAACTAGTCAACTTTTGTTAAAACATTTTCACTAAACATTACCTATAGTCCAATTCAATCAATTTTGTTCACTCTTCAAACTATAAAACCTATAATATTTATTTACTTTATGTCCTGCCTTTAAGAATTTTAGCCGTTCTTTTTACCAGTTAACACTTCCCTTAGAAAGTCCTTTACAAGGCTGAAAGCTCACCTATTAGGAAAGAATGGTTTTTAAGTTTCTTCTCTAAATGCATTTTTAAGCTAGCTATGTGCTATGTGTGTGTACACACACACACACACACACGTAATAATGAAATATACTTTCTCTACACACACATAAGAACAACATATGTTGTATAGCCAGTGCTAAATGGTTGGCTGAGTTGCATATGACCTACATCTACAAGACAGCAAATCTAATTAGGACTTTGTGGCAGCTGTGACACAAGTTATACTCCTCGTACTGCTCATCAAGTCAGTAGTGATTCTAAGTAAGGTGCCCACACCACAGCCAACCTTTGTACAGCCAGGAAGTTAAATGTCTTCCCTCCCCTCCCACGTGAACCAAATGGCAAAGGAAGGTAAGACCCAAGACTCTCCCTTTTATTTTTTTCTGGTAAGGATGGCAGCAGCTTTAACCTATTCTACCTCAGAGAATCCTATATATACCCTAATACCCTTTTCCTTTTCATGTCTAAATACTGCCCAAAAAACTTCCCTTTTTGAGATAAACTTTAGCTTTTTACAGCAACTACATAGAGAAAATTGTATTTTAGAATTTAGTACTGGAATAGGCCTTACATATATACTACAGAGTAAAAGAACAATGTTTCAATTTTAAAAATACGTAAGCTGCCATATTTATCTTCAAGCAAGCTGTAGAATCTAAATCTCCATCTATTCAACATCAATTATGCTTGCTTTGGTTCAAGTACCACCATTCATTGCCAACATAAACTCAGCAAACCAAACAAGTGTAATTTCTTTCACTAAAAATGTAAGATATGGTCAAGTCAAATAGTACTTTATGAAACCATACATATATTCTAAGTTATAAACGAATCAGATTTACTTTTGACCACAACCATTTCTGTTTGTAAGATGGGGAGTTCCTCCCCTAAGAGGTACTAGTGTGAAATTATTGGTCCCTCTAAACTCCAGATGGAGGATGGACAATTAGTATAAAGCTAAAGACATTTAGCTAGTAAAGTGAAAGTGAAAATCCACCTCCTAGTCACACATTCAAACATGGAACACAGGCACACACACAGAGTCAAGACTAGTTTAAAAAGTGGGGGAGGAGGCCAAATTATTATTTGAAAATTTGATTACAACCGATTTTGTTGGCATTAAAATTAGAGGTCTTTTAAATTTGGATATGGTTATAAACCAAAAACCAGAAATTAAGTTTGTTAAAAGTGAGAATAGGAGTTTTGCAGTAATTACAGATTAGAAGGCAGAAATCAATTTAAAGAGAAAGGCAAACCCCTGTTTACAATGATTGTGCCACAGATTTAAATTTCAGTAGTGCATTAGTAAACTGTTCACATTTAGATCTTCACCTTGAGATTCGCCAGCTGTTTCTTGAAAAATCTCTCGGTACCTTGTGCAAATAAATTGGTCTTCCATGTGCCTTAGCACACACTTAAAATTTCTCATTGTATATATACAAAACACCTACCATTTGGGCAGGGCAAAATACATACTTTCATAACAAAACTATAATGTACCTCTCAAGTATCAACAATATACACATAATACATGGTATACAGTATTTACAAAATATAAAATATAATACAAGCTGTTTGTAATTTTTAAAACTCATCTTTTGCCCTTGTAGGTTACAAGGCATATTTCCATTTCTGTACCAATTTTCAAGAATCCAGGGATTTTGGAAAAACTATGTTTTACATACATACTGAAACTTGAGATCTAAGTTTGAACTTTTAGGAGAGTTTTTAAATGTACTGCCATCAATTCCCTATTTTGGTTGGAATTTTCAATAGTGCTTCCCATCCAGTGACTAGGCGGCTTTGGAAGAACACTAGGAGAAGGTGGATCACTAAACTTTGCCCCAGCATAATTTTCCTTTTGGTTCACTTCAGTTAGAAGCGCTGATTTCTTCAAATGCTTTTTTTTAATGTTCTCAGTATTTTTAAAAGGCTTTTTTTCCTGCTTTTGAATTATATCAGGTGAAACAGAATCCTGCCAAAAGTTGTTTTCATTTCTTTTTGCAGAGGTGATCTTGGTTAGTGGTAAGTTATATTTGCTTTTCTGTCTGTTTATCTTTGGCTGTTCACATAAGTGCATACCATGAACAAGCTGCCCATGGGGAACGGTGATTTTCTCCGATTTTCCCATGTTTGATTTTAAAACCTACAAAGACAAGGAACACAAAAGTGAATAGTCTCATGATAAAAACCAGTCACAAGCCTCACATACATGTTTGCTGCACTTACCACTGGATGCTCAAACATGCACATACCTAATTTTGCATACCACTAAAAACAGTTAATCACCACTGTTACCAATATGCAACGTATAAGCCAGTTCTAAAGTAGCCCCAAATCCATCTTTCTATAACTGTAAGGAAGAGTAATGCCAACTGCTTTGTAACAAGGGTCAGGGTTTTTACAATAGAATGTTGCCAACAGACATTTTCTAATACTTCCATTTTGGTTGGTTGAGTCTGATTAAAAATAAAAACTATGGCCTGGTCGGGCATGGCTCAGTGGTTGAGCATCAACTTAAGATCCAGGAGATTGCAGTTTGACTCCGTCAGGGCACAAGCCCGGGTTACAGGCTGGATCCCCAGTTGGGTGTGAAGGAGGCAGCTGATCACTCACAACTCTCATCATGGACTCTCTAATCATCGATGTTTCTACCTCTCTCCCCCTCTCCCTTCCTCTCTCTCTGAAATCAATAAAGTCATATTTTAAATACTAAAATAAAAACCCAAATACTAAAATACCACTTTTTATCATCTTTTCTAGTTGTAACAAGTCAGAAAAAAAGTTTCCGGCCTGCCCCCTACTTTCTGGTTTCACAAGTGCTTCAAGAATGCTGCCACACTAACCCTTGAAATATGGTGGGGAAGAGGACACAACTCTAGAACCCAAGTTAACATAGCCCATGTCATAAGGGAAACTGCTAACAGAGCTCCCTGGTTTAAATACCATTCTGGAAGAAAAAGGAATCTTACTGACCAGGAATCAAGAAGTACAAAAACTTGCTTTTAGATACATTACCACTAATATTTCAGAATTTTAAAAATTGAAAGGAATCTAAGAAAATAATTTAAGGAATTACGATGAACAAACTTAATTTTTCCAAGGGCACAGCTAGAGAAGCTGCAAATCTCTCAGTGCAACTGCCTTTCAACAAATGGCAGTAACTTTTCATATTATGAAAGAGTAAGTTTGAAATTAAGTCAACAAAACGTTTTATTTTGATAGGTTAATTTCAAACCATTTTAAGCGATTTAATCCTATTGAAGTTTTGTATCAATTTTATCCTAGTCCAATAGCATGGCAGCTGGGCGGAATAAAGTCGATTCAATTGATAACTCTTCTTTCGAAAATTTCAGTTTGGACGCAATAAAACCGCCTTCCACTAAGTTCGGTACAGTATACAGTGGAAACTATTAAATTCCATTCATCTGATAGACTAGCACGCAAAATATATCGCTTCCAAGAAGAACTCGGCCGCCGCTCCTGCCAACTTTGAAAAATTAAAAAGCACAGCTAAGTAGGTCGGCCCGGCGAGGGGCAGAGCCCCGGTTGGATCGGCGCCCTCACAGCTCGGCAAAATGCAAGCCAAAAGGAATCGAGCCAAAGGCGCCCACTCCCAATCCCGCACCAGGGCGGCGTGAGTGTGTACGCACATCGCCGCCTACTCTTGGAGGTACCCACCTTCAGGAAGCCGAAAAAGCTGGCCCCCACCCCTTCCCTTACCTCGCCCCCCCCGACCAGGCCTCCTTCATCGGGGCTAGGGAGCTCAGCACGTAGCGCGCGCTGACGTCACCCCCCTCGGGCCCCTTCCCTCCCCACCCAACCGCGCGCCCAGAACACTGAAACCCCCTGGAACGCTGCCAGACTTCTAAATCGGGGCTGTTGCTGGGGCGCAGCCGCTCCTCTCATTGGCTGTTCCTCGGGAGCCAATCAGCAACGCCACCGCATGCCTTCCCCTCCCCCTCTTCCCCACCGCAAGAACGGAGCAGGCGTCACGGAAACTTCCCTCCCGAGTAAACAGCCGCCCCTGATCCCGGCCCCCCTTCGTGCAGAGCCCCAGACCCCAAACCCCAGAGCCTGGCTGTGACCGTCTAAGGACCAGGCTTCCCCAACGGTCCCCATGCCCCAATGCGACACTCACCTCTTTTCTAAACGAGGGCTGGCCAGGCGTCGCGGGAGGCAGCGGAACACGGAAAAGGTTCTCTTCCTCAGTTGGGGTTGCAGTTGCAGGACCCGGGGCCGCGGCGGCGGCCTGGTTCGGGACTTCCTGCGCTCCGCTCCGGCCCGTTGAGGGGCTCCGCCCGCTCTCCAGGCTCGGCCGGTGCTGCTGGTACTGGTGGAAGCGACTGGGCAGCTGCCCCGCCGGGCTGGCCCGCACCTTCTTCTTTCGCCGCTTCTTTGGTGCGGCCCGAGGGGTGCCCCCCGCCGGGGCGAGACTGCAGTTGGGCAAAGGTGCTGGGGCGCGAGGCTGAGGGGTCAGACACGGACCGTCCCTGCTTAGGAAGTGAGGGAGGAAGAGGGTGGGGGGAAGTGCCCGGGGGTCCGGAATCCGAGGTAGAGGCGGCGGAGCCGAGGTTACCATCGGGAGGGCCCCGAAGTAACCGCGGGCGGAAAAGCCTAGGGGCCCGAGGCGGCCGCCCAGGACCAGCGGCTCCCGCTGCGGGACGGAGACGACGGTCATAGCGCTAGGAGGAAAGTGGTTCAGCAGGAAGAGAAGGAGCAAGCGAAGCCAGAGATGAAAGGCGGCGAGGGCTGCTGCTAAGAGCCCGAGAAGAGCGCAGACTAGGACTCGGGCGGTGGCGGCGCAGCAACAAACAGCCTCAGCTCCAGCTCGGAGTGTTGTTATCGGAAGCTCCGCCCTGTAACCACCCACCTCCCTGCGAAAACCCAATCAGAATTCGACAGGGCATGCCACGCCCGCGGCTCCGCCTCCATCGCCCTGAAAGACACACACAAACAACTAGCTTGCTGCAGCGGGGCACAAAGAGCGCGCACTGCGCAGGCGCTGCCAACCGGCTCTTTTGGGAAGAGTCGGCCGCGGGAACAATGAGGTCCCGGTTCAGCCGCACCTCCCCCGCCCTTCTCCTCCCTCGCCCCCGCACCTTGTCTTCCAGGCAGAGGTCGGACAGAATTTGGGAATGGGGTGGCAGGGCCGGAGGAAGGGGGAAAGAATCCGGAAGCATCAAGGCCGTTGACCTTGGGGAAGTAATCTGTTTTATTTGAAGCCCAATATTATAGCATTATCGGTTTTGTTTTTTCAGGATTTCAAAGTACATTATGGGAATTTCTTCCTAGCAATCGTGAAGAAAATCAGTCCACATTTGTATTTGATGTGGCTCACGTTTTTTTCCTTTACTCGGCTGAGCAACGCTGCTCATTAGCCATGGTAATCGGAGTAAGAATTAAGGGAATGACATTAAGTGGTTGAAATTTGCGCCTTAATATATAAAAAGTTCATAAATCCGTAATTGGGCGTTAGAAATGTTACTGCCATCATACTTGAAGACCTGTGAGACTTTGGGATCGCAAAGCGGCGCCTGATGCTGAATGGGAAGCAATGGAGGAGGCTTGCGTCTCTGAGAAAGTGAAACAGCTCTGCACCGTGGTGTATTTTGGTAGCTGTGTGCTGATAGAAATCTCACTCTCCTTGTGTATCTGGACTGGGCTCACACGGATAAAAAAGAACTGTGGCTACTTAAAAAGGACTTATGTGCCAGGAATTGTTATTTACATAAATTATCTCGTATGAACCTCACTACAGTCCTAAGGAACGGGTAGGTCCTCATTTCAAAGGACAGGAAACAGGCTTAGAGAGGCAAAAAGTCCTTGACAAACATGATACGGTAATATTAGAATTTGAACTCCAGCCCAGCTTTAACTTCCACACTGCCTGCCACACTAGATTGTAGGTTTTTAGAACACAATAATCGTATACTTCTCTGTATCCTCAGTCTCTAACCAATATTTTTCACCTTTGTAGTGCTTAATAAGTGTTTTATAATTAATGACAAGGTTTGACAGAGGTAATATGGAGAATAATGATTCTCAATAACTTTACATAAACTTTTAATACTATTTTCCATCATTAGCGATTGTTGGTTTTTATCATATTTGCTGGGTTTTACTCATTTTTTGTGTTACCAACACTTAATACATAGTAAGTGCTCCTGTTCATTGGATGAACAGAAATCATATACTTCCAGAGCTCTAGTAGATCTTAGAGAACATTTAATTCAAATTTTCAGGTCTGCAAATTGAAGTTGGGTTTAGGATCTGGTGAGGAGAACCGCCTGAGGGTAGTTGGTGAAGAGCAGACAAAGATTATGAAATCTTTGGAATGAGTTAATTTGTTCTTTTGTTTTTAAAAAAGTTTCTACTTTTTCAAGGCACTCTTCATCTGTTCTCTACTTTCTAATCCTTTAAAGGAATACTATAATCCTATAAAATAGATTGAGATAGGTTCTTTGCAAAATACATGTGATGTTTAAAAAACCTCTAGCCCTAACTGGTTTGGCTCAGTGGATCCAGAAAGTACCTCGGTTGCAGGCTCCATCCCGACCCTGGTTGGGGAGGCAACCAATCCATGTGTCTCAAGTGGATGTTTCTTTCTCCCTCTGTCTCTCTCTCTTTCCTTCCTTCCACTCTCTCTGAAAAGCAATGGAAAAAATATCCTCCAGTGAGGATTAAAAATAATAATTAAATAAAAAGCCTCTAAAGATAAAGTAAGTTGTCTAAGGGTTACACGATGAAGTCAGGGACTAAATGACTAAGTCCTAATGCCTAGTCCAGTGCTTTTTTTACTATAGCCCAAGGCCTAAGGTTTGACTTTATCTAAGGGTAAGGTCTCACTGTCCTGAGGCATAATTTATCTTCCTGGGGGCTGCTAATTGGCAGTCAGTTCAGTGAGGCCCTTGATCAAGGACACCTATTATTGTTTGTGAGTTATTGTGTGTGGTACTTAGTTTATCCTTTTGAGGCCTGTATGGTAGGCTTCCTGTCAGACCCTGAATTTTGTACTTTAAGAAAGGTCGCTTTTCGAGAGCATTTGAAATCTTGCTTCCTGGAATATGTCTTGGTTTGGCTCAAATAAACGTTTATTAAAAAAAAAAAAAAAAGAAAGAAAGAAAGGTAATTTTGCAGCTGTGACCATCTGGGTGAATGGTGGCCATCACTGAGACTGAGCTGGAATGGACTACCAGAAGAGAGTGATCCAGGTTTTATGAATCAGATAATTGGATTTTGTATGTAATTCCTATAGGCCCTTAGTCTTTAGTAAAGTATAATTTTAATATTCAAACCTGGTTTCATCTGTGCTATAAGATGTAAAGGAAAAGAGCAAATGCTGTTGTCTGGGCCCAAAGGGCTAATCATGGAGGTGGCAAGATATTCCAAGGGTAAAGTAAATCTTGGGCAGTCTCTGAGGGTTCTTGAAGCCTTTGGTACCAGAGCATGCCTTGGTTTTGTTTTTCTTAATTCGTTTCTTTAGAGGAGTTTTGTGTGTGTGTGTGTGTGTGTGTGTGTTTTAAAATAAACAATTGAAAAGTAAACCAGGCATTGAAGAGCGGGGAAAAGAGGTAAAGGCACCTGAGGACTCGGGCTAATATATTCAGAGGAAATGGAATAAAAGCCTGAGATCTGGTGACTGACAACATGAGAGTAGTGGAGAGACCAGATAGGGTAGAAGTACGATGGTGAGGATAAGAAGAAGGGAGAGTAAAAGAGATGCCTCCAGACTTTCAGTCTGGTTCATTTGGAGAGAAATGATAGCCTTGACAGGAATATGAAAATCCAAAAGGGGCAATTTGAAGAGACAGTATTATTTCCGTGGTTTAGTAAGGTTTTGTTTTTGCTGTTCTTAATTTTAAAGTCAAATTAATTAAAAGTTTTGTTTTGTCTCTCAAAAAGAAAAGAACCCCCAAATAATTATGTTGGTTTTTTTTTTAATACTGTATATCTTGATTGATTTTGGTGAGAGGAAGGGAGAGGGGGAGAGAGAGAGAGAAACATCAATGATGAGAGAGTTGTCATTGATCGGATACCTCCTGCACACCCCCTGCTGGGGATCGAGCCCTCAACCCAGGCATGTGCCCTGACTGACTGGTAATTGAACAGTGATTTCCTGGATCCTAGGTTAATGCTCAACTGCTGAGCCATGCCCAGCCGGGCAATTATGTTGTTTTTTTTACTTTCCTATGAACCTCTGATAGCAAAAGTCTTCCTCTTGTTCAGTATGAAAACATGGAAAACTGTTTGCCTCCGTGGAAATCAGTGCCTCCAATCAATCTGTTTACCTTTGGCTATTTCATTTGACATTTTTAGAAAATAAGTCTTAAACTACTTCCAAGAAATTTAAAATAAATTAAGGAAAATGGATTGAAACATAGTGTCAAATCTTTATTTTTCAGGTCCCAGTACAGTCAATTTAATCCTGTCATCCTAGTCAGCTAAAATTCCATGAGAAAAAATAGCATATTTCATTTTTATAAAATACTGCAATCCTCCAATTTTTTAGAGAGAGAAAGAGAGAGAGAGAGAGAAACATTGATGTGAGAGAAAAACATCAGTTGGCTGATCAGCTGCCTCCTGTTGCATAATATTGCAGAGCAGTACCAAAAACTGCCTCATTGGAAACAAGAGCTTCTTTACATTAAATAAAAACCCGGTTGCAGGCTGCCTTCTGTACATGTATAGCGTGATGAAACACACTGGGACCGACCATGGAGACAACTTCTGGCACTCACACCACAAGGAACAAGTCTGCCACATGATAGGAAAGCAAGGGTGAAGGAGTACAGGGCTGGGGAATGGGTAGAGAGGAGTAAGTGCGGCTCAGTTCTGGTTCTGGAGCTGATCGCACAGCCAGTCCAGTCCCTCATAGAGCCCGACCCCAGTGATGGCGGAGGTGGCCTGAAGGTACCAGATCCTGTGGTTCAGAGAGTGCAGGCCCAGCTTGTCCGTGAGCTCAGCTGCATTCATGGCATTGGGGAGGTCCTGCTTATTTGCGAGCACAAGAAGAACAACATCCTTGAGCTCGTCCATCATCCGCATGATCTCCTCTCCAGCCAAACTCATGCGCTCTAGGTCAGTGCTGTCGACCACAAAGATGAGAGCTTGTCTGTCGGGGCAGTAGTGGCGCCACAGAATTCGGCTCCTCTCCTTGCTGCCCGCATCCCACACAGTTAAGCTGATGTTCTTATGTTCCACAGTCTCCACATTGAAACCTATGGTGGGGATGCTCTGCACCACCTCACCCAGCTTCAATTTGTACAGGATCGTGGTCTTCCCAGCACCATCCAGGCCCACCATGAGAATGGGTATTTCTTTTTTGCCAAAAAGGTTCTTGAACAGGTTTGCAAAGATATTCCCCATGCTGTAGAGTGCAGAGGCACTGGCCAGAGAAATCCTCGCCAGCACAGTGCTGCTGCTGCTGCTGCTCCCAGCCGGGCGTTGATTCTATTTGGTGATTCTTTAGCAGGTGTTTATTGATCCTTACTCTAATGCTGTTATTGCTGTGACTCAACCACTCTGTTTCCAGTCAACTCACTGTTTAAAGTTCAAAGTCCAGAGTGAGAGTAGCTGACTGGTGCAGTTTGATTGGTCTAGATCAGATGACTAATCACCATCATCCTGGTTCAACAGAGCTGTCTTACTAGATACTCCTGGGTGGTGGCTGGCTAGGGTGGTGAGCCAGGGTGGAGAGGCACCTGTGTATAAGGAGTTATTGAGGACCACTTCAGGGACCACTTTGAGAAGTTTGGCCAACCCAGTACATTGCATAACCTATCTTCCAGGCACAAAGCGTCCTTCTTTTTGCACCTGCAATTTCAGGAATCCAAAGGAAGTGAGAACTCTGGGGCTTCCTCCTGTTTCATACTGGGGATGAGCCCGAAACTTGGGAATGT